TATATATATATATAACATATTTACTTCATTCAAAGTCGTCAAAAATTATTTGTCAAGAGAGCGTCTCAAAAGGCACAGCCCTACTCTGACGTGATATATTCTTAATATTAATGATAATTTCGTTTGTCTCTGATTTAAATTTATGAGAACTAGTCGTCTCGACAATTTACCATTGGCCTTCATCTATCAAGTTTTCTTTGTGAATTTTAACATTCCAGCTTCTTTTCTCACTCATTGTTTTTCTTTTTTCTATCACAAAAGGTAACCTTAATACTTGATATTGATTCAGCCCCATTTACATTGGTTGGTCGAGAGTGTTAATGATGTTATATAGTATACATATCATATCTTTACTTGTTAAGGAAACCGACTGCGCTATGAATATTAATATTTACCAAGACCAAAATCATTTATTCGGCACTTCATTTCCATCGTTATCTTTGGCGTACCTGTCACTAATTACAGTTTAATTTCAAACACTTTTGAGCGTTGTCGACGCTTTGATCGCTTGCTAGGTCTTCGTCGCTTCGTTCTCATGTAACACTTACTGTAGAGCCGGCGAAAAGAGTAAAATTACTACACGCCAATATATTCTGAAGTATTTACCAAGTCAAGAAAATTGAGGCTAAAACTCGTAGTACTTACAGTCTATTCYAGTCGTACTTACTAGTTGACACTCATTAGACGCGTTAAAAGATGCCAAAATTCAAAGGTAAGGCATTTTGTTTTCATTATCATTCCCTTAAGTAAAGATAGTTTCCGCCAATTGTAAGGGTAATTTGCACAGCCTATGTTCTCTCCTATTTCATTTGGGCGCGAAATCTTATTACGAATGATCGAGTTAAAACGGATAGTCACTGTGGCAAGCAGATCACAGCTGCATCGCACCCTACCGCATTGATTGGCAATGCAGTCCTTAGTAACAGGAAAAGCATGAAATGAAATCATGAAGTCAGATCAACCGCCGGACCGACGAGAAAGAAATACTTTTGCTGCCAAATAAAGCGAACTGAACGTAGAGTTCTTGCAGACCGTACATCTCTCGGGTAGGACATAAAGTTAAGATTTTGGAGCTTAGAAGGTTAGTTATTTTAGAGGAAAAACTATCGCTTCAAAATCACAACTTTTTAATTTTTTAAGATTTTTCATTTTAACTTCAAATTTAAATATTTGGGTTTAAGTTTTAAAAAAAACTCATAGTCGATGCGACGTAATTATTAGAACCTTAGCATGTAAAATGTGTTAGTTATGTTTTCATTTTCTTATCCGCTTGTGACAAAAGATGGTAAATACTATATTCAAGTACTTTTTTTTTTTTGATTTTGAGATATCTACTCAGACAAATACTAATACAAGTAAACCCCGATATTCATTGCAAGAATTGGAATTTTTATGAGCGGAGTTGACGACACTGAGCGAAAAATATTCAATTGACTACTGACGAGTACTTAAACAATTGAAAACATTAGTCAGTTGCGAGGACTAGATATCAACACAAATAAAAAATCAAAATAAAGCGATCTTAAAATATTAATTAGAAAAGAAATTCGAATTGTCAGAATTTAGAATTTTAGCTCTAGATTACCGTTACCCCAAGATCTCAGAACATTGTTATTTTAGCTTGAAATGCTTAGTATTATACCCTGATTTGTCAAGCTTTACGATTCACAAATCATGTCATCGACAAAATATTAATATGCTTAGAAAACCTGCCAGATGTCATTTTTGAAGTCGGGCATTAAACCAATCTAGAAACAAGTTTTGAATTTCATGATAAATAGCAATCATAAATCTTTTATTGTCAAATAGTGCATGATTTCAGAGCGAACTCTTTGAAAATTTTTATTTAGGAAAATGAAAAACACTATTTTGTATTGTATTTTGTATCGTAATTAGTTGCTGAGAGGCAGCCATGTTGGAGGACAAAAATTATAAGTTCCAATGAATGTTTATTTTGCCAAAAAATTTTCCCCCTCTTGTACCCAGATGGTGTGACACGGTCATGTACATCAGTAGACACCCTCTTGTACCCAGATGGTGTGACACGGTCATGTACATCAGTAGTCACCCTCTTGTACCCAGATGGTGTGACA